AGTTTTCCTCCATTTTCCATACTCACTTCATTGCACATATATGTATGCACACTCACACATATGCTCTCTCTATATACATACACACTAAATAAATAAATAAATAAATGTTGCTAGAGAGCTTCTCTCCAGGTCCCACCAAGCCCCACAGTCCCACAACCCACGTATACAATAATCACTCAGACGCTTATATTACTTATAAACTGTATAGCCATGGCAGGCTTCTTGCTAACTGTTCTTATATCTTAAATTAACCCATTTCTATAAATCTATACCTTGCCATGTGGCTCGTGGCTTACCGGCATCTTTACATGCTGCTTGTTCTGGCGGTGGCTGGCAGTGTCTCCCCCTCCTTCTTCCTGTTCCCCCAATTCTCTCTCCTTGTCCCGCCTATACTTCCTGCCTGGTCTCTGGCCAATCAGTGTTTTATTTATATAGAGTGATATCCACAGCAAATAAATATATACTTTTGTGTTTGTTACTGTTGATAGAGCTTCTCTGTATAGTTTTGGCTGTCCTGGAACTCATTCTGTAGACTAGGCTGACCTCGAACTCACAGATCCACCTGCCTCTGCCTACCAAGTGCTGGGATTAAAGGAGTTCACCACCACCACCTGGCAAATACACACATTTTTAATGAAAAATATTGGATTCTATAAAGTAATTTTTTTTTTTGAGAGAGACAGGGTTTATCTGTGTAGCCCTGGCTATCCTCGAACTTACTCTGTAGACCAGGTTGGCCTTAAACTCACAGAAATACACCTGCCCCTGCCTTCTGAGTGCTGGGATTAAAGGTGTGTGTGTAGACTGCCTGGCAAGATTTTATAAAGTAATTTTTAAAGATGTCTGAGTATTTTGCCTATATGTACCATGTGCAGCATTGTAACATGAATCTTAAAAGTACTTATTAATAAAATCAAACCTGAGGCCAGTTATTGGGGTGAATGCTGGAAGATCAGAGAAGCAGAACAAGCTACAGCTACCTCACCTCACTAGTTCCTCAGCTGATCCTGTTTCCTCAGACTGAAAGCCTCTCAGTCCTCATCCAGAATGAATCTCAGCTGAACTGTGCTGCTCAAAGCCTAAAAGCTTAACCAGCTAAAAGCTTCTAGTTTCTGGTCTTAATGCCTTATATATCTTTCTGCTTTCTGCCACCGCTCCCTGGGATTAAAGGCTCACTTTCTGGGATTAAAGGCTGAGTCACCGTGCTTGGCTGTATCCTTGAACACACAGAGATCCAGGTAGATCTCTGCCTCTGGAATGCTAGGATTAAAGGCGTGTGCTACCACTGCCTATCCTCTATGTTTAATATTGTGGCTGTTCTGTCTGACCCAAAATAAGTTTATTAGCGTGCACAATATTTTGGGGAACACAATACCACCACACAACATTTATGGAGACTGGAAGAGGAAATTGGATCCCTTGGAGCTGGAGTTTCAGACTATTGTGAATTACTTGGGGTGCGGGGAACTGAGCCATCTCTTCACTTCATAAAATGCTTTGAAAGGTTCTTCCTTGTAAGGAAAGCATAACTCTGAGAGTCATTCTTAGGATATTAAAAAACTAAACCAATTAGGGTGGGGAAATGGCTCAGTGGTTAAGATATTGGCTGCTCTTCCAAAGGACAGAGGTTCATTCCTTCATCCACTTGGTGTCTCACAACCATCTGTAATTCTGGTTCTGGGGCCCTGATGCCCTCTTCTGGCCTCTGTGGGCACTGCATGTGCATGGTGCACAGATGTACATGCAGGCAAAATGACCATACAAGTAAAGTAAAATTAAAAAAATTAAACCACTAAGATTATATTTTATGCTAAATGTCATGGCTTCATTTCTGTTGCTGTGATAAAACATCCTGCCAAATGCGATTTAAGGGAGAAAGGGCTTACTTGGCTCACAGTTCTAGATTGTGGGCTATCACTACAGGAAGGCAGTCAAGGCAGCAGGAACTTGCAGCAGCCAGTCACATAACATCCACAGTCAAGAGCAGAAAGCTTTGAGTTAATGCATGCATGCTAATGCTCATCCTCCTTTCTCTATTCATACATAATCCATGATCCCCTAATCAGAGAATGGTACTACCCACAGTGGGTACACTAATCATGATAATTTCCCACAAACAGGTCTACAGGTCAATTTAATCTAGACAATTCTTCACTGAGATTCCCTTCCCAGATGATTCTAGATCATATCAAATTGACAATTAAAATTAACCATCATAGACTACTTGAATTCTGTGAGTCACTCAAGAAAATTCATTATATTCCAAAAGGGCTTATGGGAATCCCACTTTATAGCCAGTTACAGTCTTCTGGTATGCAGACATATGTAACACCCATGATACATAAAATAAATACAATTTTAAAAAATTAAACAACCCAGGCTTGCAGTTAGCATCTGTATTAAGTATTAAGATCATCTTGAAACTTAGCCTTTCACCTGTCTGATCTGATATTATCTTCAGGTAGATTTTGTCACCACTGAGTTACTGCTTGTTTGGCATGTAGATAAAGGTGCCTACATGTAGCTGGAGTCAAACTGATCTGGGTCAGAAGAAAGCTGTAGGGGAAAGTAAGTTTGAGTCTGGGTGTTTTTTCTGTACAGTCATCAAAATTTAAAGCTTAAAGTCAGACATAAACAAGGCAAGGATAAGAGAAAAATAGTTATAAGATGAGCAGAGACTGAGTTTCTCAGCTCAATGGGAGCAGGAATATTAGTCACAGAGCAGACCCATCAGTCACTGTGAAAACAGAAGTAGATGACAGGCATCAAGCAGCACTTCTGAGACCCAGCCCCTGCCTTCCTGGGCTCTGTCATTTCCAATCCAAGTTTTCCAAGAACTTGGAGGTTTTGGGAGCGTGGCCCAGAAGCAACACTTCACCCACTAACTAGAACATTACCACAGCTAATGTGAGGGAAACTGGAAAGGGTAACCTAGTCCTGGGCCCAGGAAGAAGAAACAGTGTTGACCATCATTTAACAACCTGTGCAAAGTGTGTCCTGGGGAAGAGCATGATTGTCTGTTAGCAAGGACCAAGCAAGTACACATGGGAATTAAGATAGAGGTAGTACAAATCTGAGACGTTCCTCATGATGTTCTCTGTAGCAGATGGTCCAGGCCCATCATCACTTCTTCCTTTAAGACAATGTCCTCAGCAGAGACATCACCCCCTCCCAGCATGTTTGTCCTTTGCTGGAGATATTTTCGGTTGTCCAGCTCAGTGACTAGTGTTACTAGCATTTAGCAGGTGCAGAAAACAAGGATGTTAGCCAGGCGGTGGTGGCACACACCTTTAATCGCAGCACTTGGGAGGCAGAGGCAGGCAGATCTCTGAGTCCAAAGCCAGCCTGGTCTACAGAGTGAGTTCTAGGACATCTAGGACTATACAAAGAAACCCCCGTCTTGGAAAAAAAGAAAAAATAAAACAAGGATGTTGCCAAATGTTTTACACTGTCCTAAAAAGGACTCCCTGAACAAGTGTCAGTGGCAGGTTAAGCCATTGTTTCAAGGAAGAAAAAAGATAAATGAAAAGTCCAGGGCTATGCTTTCCTTTGAAGAATAAGGAAAGGATGATGGGGCCCAATACAGAATCATTCTGGGGCTGGAGAGATGATGGCCCAGCCATTAAGAGCTCACACTGCTCTTGCAAAGGACCCAAGTTCAGTTGCCAGTCCTCACCCTGGGTACTCACAACCACCTATAACTTGACCTCCAGGGGATACAACGCCCTCTTCTAGCCTCCAATGGGCACAGCATGCACATAGGCAATCACACATGAATACAGACACATACATAATTTAAAGTAAGTATTTATTTTTAAAGAATGTTTTATTTAAGAACTGACATCTTGGGGATTTAGCTCAGTGGTAGAGCGCTTAAGGCCCTGGGTTCAGTCCTCAGCTCCGGGGGGGGGGGGGAACAAAAAAAAAAACCTGACATCTTTTTTTTCTTTTCATTTATTTTACATACCAACCACAGTTTCCCCTCCCTCCTCACCTCCCTACTACCCCTCCACCACTCCTCCATCTCCATTCAGAAAGGGGCAGGGCTCCCATGAGAGGCACATCAAGTCGAGGCAGGACCGAGCTCTTTCCCCTGCATCAAGGTTGGGCAAGGCAACCCAGCACGGGGAATGGGTTCCCCAAAGCTAGCTCAAGTGCCAGGGATCTTGAGATCCTGATCCAAGAACAGGTCCTGATTCCACTGCTAAGAGCCCCATAAACAGACCAAGCTACACAACTGTCACACACATGCAAAGGGCCTAGGTTGGTCCCATGAAGGCTCCCTAGCTGTTGGTCCAGAGTCGGTAAGCTCCCATGAGTTCAGGTCAGCTGACTCTGTGGGTTCCCCTGTCATGACCTTGACCTACCCCCCCACCCCCACCTCCCCACCCCCCAGCTTGTACAATCCTTCCTCTCTCTTCAACAAAACTCCCTGTAAATGGATGTTTCCTGTCCTGACCGCCCAATCCCAAATAAACACACAGAGGTTTATATGAGTTATAAGTGCTCAGCCAATAGCTCAGACTTACTACTAACTAGCTCTTACATTTTAAGTTAACCCATATTCCTTATTTATGCTCTGCCACATGGTGGTAGCTTTATTAGCACAACACATTCATCTCCTGCTCCCTCTGCATCTGGCTGGCGACTCTTGACACCACCCTTCTCCTTCCCAGCATTCTGTTTGGCTTTCCCAACTAACTTCCTGCCTAGTTACCAGCCCACCAGCTTTTAATTAACCAATGAAAGTAATACATATTTATAGTGTAAAAAAGGATTATTCCACAGCAACTCCAGGAGCTCAGCCAAATGCTTGGCTATGGATCTCTGCATCTACTTCCATCAGTTACTGGATGAAGACTCTCCAAGACAATTAGGATAGTCACCAACCTGATTACAGAAGAAGGCCAGTTCAGGCACCCTCTCCACTATTTCTAGGACTGACATCATATCTTATTGGAATATAAAATGATACCTAAAGACAGTTTTCAATATTTCAGGACAGAGCCCCCACATAAAGTCCAGCCTGCTCTCGGGAAGCCTTCAGAGCCTGTGGCGAGCAGTCACTGGCCCACTTTTTGACTTCCAAGGAGACCCAGCTCAGCAAGGCGGAACCCTCATTTTAGGTCCAGGTGAGCATCAAGGATGGGTTGTGTCTCAGTGCCCTCCACAGTCTCAGAGCCACCCACTTTTCTTATGTGACAGACACTGAAAATGCCTGGCCTAATGCGGTGGCGTGCTTTGGTAAGGAGCATCTTTCATTTTCAGAGGTGTCTGTGTTTGATGAGGGTCCTCATCACTACAGAGTGAGGGCAGGGATTTGAGACACATAATTAAAAATAAAATAAACCTTAAAGGAGTTCAGTGCTCACTTTGGCAGCACATATTCTAAAATTGGAACAAAGAAGATTAGCATGGCCCCTGCACAAAGGATGACATGCAAATTTGCAAAGTATTCCATATTTTTCCTTGGGCACTCAAAGAAATCTGGAAATTTACCATGAAGGAAATGGGGGATCCAGATGTGCACAGTGATACCAGGCTCAACAAAGCCGTCTGGCCCAAAGGAATAGGAATGCTCCAGAGTGGGTCTCTCTACATTTGACCAGAAAATGTAATGAGAATGAGGATTCACCAAACAAGCTCTACACTTTGATAATCTGTGTCCTTATTAACACATTAAAAAAAATTACTGGCAGGAAAACAAACAGACAAAAAAGCAGAGTGGTGGTGGTACACACCTAATCCCAGCACTTGGGAGGCAGAGGCAGGTGGATCTCTGATTTCAAGGCCACCCTGGTCTACAGAATGAGTTCCAAGACAGCCAGGGCTAAAAAAGAAAGAAAGAAAGAAAAACCCATACAGACAGTTAATATGGATGAGAATATGAATAAAGTTATGGAACTAAGTTCGATAGGGGCCCAGCCAGATAGCTCCCCAGGTAAAGACACTTGTTGCTCAAGTTTGGAGAGCTCAATTTTTTTTTTTTTAAATAAAAGAATCTTTATTTTTACTAACTAAACTGGGAGCCCCACACAGTGTTGGAAAGCAAGCCAGTACTGGGGTTAGCCCATTCCGAAGTGGGACCTGCCGTACGCCACAGCCTTCAACAACTGCGGTGACTGTGTCTGGGCCAGAGATGCCTCTGGCTGCACCCTAGTCAGTGTGGAAAGCTAGCTTTCTCCACATTCAGGTTCTGCAATAACAGACCAAAAAGTCACTGTGGCATAGGCAGGTGGTTCTTCATTCTTCTGCCTCTTTAAAATTGGACCTGCTAGTAAATTATTAAATTAACACTTATATAAATCCCAGACTCTTGAAAGGACTGCTTTTGACTGAGTGTTTGGTTTTTTACAGCAGGCACTATTTTACCCATCTCTCACAAATTTAGATCAATTTTTTTAAAGCCTTTTGGAGCTGGAGTTGTAACTCGGTGGCAGGTGCATTGCTTCCTGGGCTCAGTAGTAATAAATAAATAAGTAAATAAATGAGCCCATTTTGAGTTCTATAAATTTACTCAGAATGCTACTGAACCACTTGGAAGCTTGTTTCTGGTGCTGGGGATTGAGCCCACTAGGGCAGGGCTGTACTCTCAGCTTGGAGCTCCCCACTTTCCATCACTTCCCTTCTTTGCTGCTTTTTTTTTTTTCTTTTTTTGAGATAGGGTCTTCTTAGGTATCTCTAGCTGTTCTGGAACTCACTATGTAGACCAGGCTGGCCCCAAACTCACGGAGATTCATCTGCCTCTGCCTTTTCAAAATTTTGTTTTAAGACAAGTTCTTGATGTGCAGCCCTAGTTGACGTAGAGCTGACTCTGCAAAGCAAACTGGCCTCAGACTCCCAGAGATCTGCTGTCCTTGCCTCCTGAGTGCTGGGATTAATCAATCATTTTGCATTTCTTTGTTTAGTATGTGCATGTGTTTGTGTGAGCATGCATGCATAGGGAGCAGGACACATGTGTCTTGGTACATATGAAAGTCAGAGGACAACTTAAGTCTGTTCTCTCGCTCCGTGATGTGGGGTCCTGGGGATCAAACACAGGTAACAACCTGTGTAAAGTGCCTTTACCCCCTGAGCCGTCTCACTAGCCCATATTCTTTCTCCGTGGTGTTGGGTATTTCACCCAGGGCCTTGTGTACTGTGTTGATGCTCCTGTCACTGAGCTGTACCCCAGTCTTCCAGACCCATATTTTTGAATAACTAATTTGCATTCAAGACCTGGAAGAGGTTGTTGGTTTTTACCTGGTTCCTCAGCTCATGTCACTGAGTCACTTGGCCATTGTCTTAGGGTTTGTATTGCTGTAGAGATATCATGTCCACGGCAACTCTTATTTAGGAAAACATTTAATTGGGGCTGGCTTACATTTCAAGTCTAGTCCATTATCAACATGACAGGAAGCATGGTGGCCTGCAGGCAGACATGGTGCTGGAGACCAGGTAGCTGAGAGTTCTACAGCTGGTGTGGCAGGCAGCAAGAAAAGAGAGCCACTGGGCCTAGGTTGAGCTTCTGAAACCTCAAAGCCACCCTTGTTGACATATTTCCTCCAGTAAGTCCACACCTACTCCAACAAGGCCACAGTTCCTAATCCTTTCAAATAATGTCACTCCCTATAAGAGAGATCCTGTCTTAAAACAAACAAAAATTCTGTTTTTTAGTTCAAGGTGGAACAAACAGGACGTATATGATAAATTATAACTTGAGTGGATAGAATTGTGGATGTCTGGGTGTACTGTAGCTAGTTGGCTTTCTGCCTTCTCTTCTAACATCTTAGCTTAATTATAAAACATCCTATGAAATCAGTGCTTTTCTTTCCTTCTATTTTTTTTATTTTGGCAGTGCTAGGGATGACCTAGATCCTCATGAATACTGCACCGCCCCCCCACCAGCCCCAGAAGCGAATTTTTGAAGCAAATAATTTATTAGTTCATGTGCTTAGGAAATAGAAGTAATTTCCCAGCTGATACCTATGTTAGTTCCAGATTCTGCTTGTCTGGTTGGTTGTTTTATTTAATTATACTTGATGAAACTGAATAGAAGGGTATAATTTAGGATGCTGTCCCCTCGGAGCTCATAACGTGTTAAGTAACACTCTTATTCAACCATTGCCTTGTCGTGGTTAATTGCCATAATGCAGAATTATGGTGGCATTACATAGGGAATATGATGGACTCCAGGTAATTAATTTTTCCCTTTGGACTAATTAGGAGCTGAAAGGCTTCCTTGATCCTGGTAAGCAGTAAATCTAAAGACTAGTGCGTCATTTGCCCTCAGCATTTTTGTCCTTGTTCTCTTCTAGGTAACAGCATCCACTTTGTGCACCGAGACAGGAATAGGTTGGATCACAAACCCATAAACTCTGTTTTACAGCTTGTGGGAGTTCAGCCTGTGAACTTCATGAGCAGACCTACAGTTATCCATGTGTGACTTCACGTAGGATCTTCCACTTGTGAATGGGCCCTTGAAACATGAACCAAAATGCCAGGCATCATGGCTTCACGAGGTCATGAAAACACAAAGCTCATGTGCCTATAGAACTCTATGCTGAGAGCCATCAGTTGTCAAACATGGGATAGGCATTTTAAATTTTATAGCCTCTATAATTATCCATTCAATAAAATATTTTTGGCAACTAAATAATTAGAAGGAGGACTGGAAAATTTTTTCAGTGGTTAAGAGCACTTGCTTCTCTTGCAGAAGACCCAGGTTTGGTTCCCAAAACCCACAGGATGGCTCACAGTTATCTGTAACTTCAGTTCCAAGGAATCCAACACCCTCTTCTGGCCTTGGGGACCAGGTGCACATGTAGTAAACAGGCATAAATGTAGGGAAACACTCATACACATAAAATAAGAATAAATAAATCACCGGGCAGTGGTGGCACATGCCTTTGATCCTAGCACTTGGAAGGCAGAGGTAAGCGGATCTCTGTGAGTTTGAGGCCAGCCTGTTCTACAGAGTAAGTTCCAGGATGGCTAGGGCTGTTACAGAGAAACCCTGTCTCAAAAAAACATTAAAAAAAAAAAAGGAAAAAATAAATCTTATAAAACTACATACATATATGCATGTGTGTCTGAAGGGAAGGTAAGAATGGGCCAGGTATGATGGTACAGGCTTGTAATCCTAACACTGAGAAGTGGGAACAGGAGTGCATCCTGAGCTGTATGGGGAAGAGCCTTAGAAAAATAGTCAGTTAATGGAAGGGGGAAGGCAACTCACCAGTTTTACTTAGTAGGTGAAAAAAAAAAAAAAAAACAAGAACAGATTATCAAATTCTGTAAACAGTGTAACCACATATACGTGTGGTTTTTTTATGTTCTTGGAGAAAAGATAGTAAGCACAGCACAACACTGCCAGTAGGGGTGTGTGTGTCTGTGTGGTGTGGTTATAGGTGTTTCTGCTGGCTTTCCAAGTTCTGTATTTCCTATGTTTTCTTATAAGCTCGGCTGATTTGGGGGTGGGGCAGGCATGAAAGGACAAATGCCTGCCTGCCTGCATCAAACTCCAACACCATGCAGGTGACAGTGGTCGCCTCCCATGTGAGGAGTCATTGGTCAATGAAAATAAGACCTCAGAGATAGCAGAGGGCCTGGTCAGCACACACTCACATCTATTGCACTAGGATTGTTTTGGTGGAATTAAGTGAGTTGAGGGAAATACTTGATTTGGCCTAGGGGCTGCGCTTGGGGATCAAAACCAAAGTTTTCATGCATGTGAACACATATTCTTCTATCACTGAGCTGTATCCCAGTGCTGACCATATTTTAAATATTTAAATATCTATAACAAGGCACCTAGAATGTGTGCAGCTCTAGATTTTATCCCTAGCAGTGTACACACACACACACACACACACACACACACACACACACACACACACACACAAATACCACTCAACTAAGAAATTGTCCCAGAAATTTTTATGCATACTATCACAAAATCAAAATGTTGGTAATCCATAGCAACTGTAATACTACTATGACCTTATACTTTCATATAAAGCATATTAAGTCACAAAACTATTTTAATGTATTTTCACATGAGTATATATGAACAGTCATGTTAAATCAATAAAAATGAGAATTTTCAGAATTCAAAATTAAATTTTTTTTGCTGTTTTTTGTTTGGGATATTTTGTGTGTTGTGGAGTTCTTTGGGGGTGAAGGAAAACAGTGCCTCACCATGTAGTAGGCTGACTTAGAACTCTCTAGCCCATGGAGAGATGGCTCAGATGTAAAGATCCTATGTTCCTTTTATAGAGGTCTGGGTTTGTTTTTCTGCACCCATATCAGGCTCCTCACAAATGCCTATCTGGCCTCATCAGCACATGCATACACATGGTGAACATGTACTCTGATACATACACATATACACATCAAATGTAAGGAATAAATCTTAAAACATCAGCCCTCTTTAGGCTGGTTTTAAATTCTCAATCCTCCTGTCACAACCTCTAAGTGCTGGGATTACAGGTATGTGCTGTCACACCCAGCCTGTTCTAATATGAACATAAAGAGTAATAACCAGATCCCTTTTTGCCAGTTTTAACAAAAATTTATATATTTGCAAATATAAAATGTTATTTACATGGCTTTAGGGAGGTAAAATTCCAGATGGTTGCCACCCAAACAAATACATGTACTACCAAGGCAATAGCTGGGTGTGGTGGTGTCTTAATCACTATTTTGATGTGAAGCAACCTCATGACCAAGGCAACTCTTTGTTGTTGTTGTTGTTGTTGTTGTTGTTGAGACAGCCTTGGCTGTCCTGAAACTTGCTTTGTAGACCAGGCTGACCTTAAACTCACAGAGATCCCTCTACCTCTATTTCCCAAGTACTGGGATTAAAGATGTGAGCCATCACTGCCCAAGGCAACTCTTAAAAAAAAAAGCATTTAAGTGCTTGAATTGGCAGCATATATACTAAAATTTGATGGAGAAGATTAGCATGGCCCTTTCACAAGGATAACACACAAATTTGTAAAGCATTCCATATTTTTGGTAGAATTCTGCACTTTAAAAAAGGCATTTAATTGGGGGCTTGCTTACAGTTTCAGAGGCTCAGAAGATCATGGCAGGGAGCATGGTGGCACATAGGTGTTGTGAGAACTTTACATCTGTATCTTCAGGCACAGAGAGACAGAGAGACTGGGCTTATGTGCTTTTGAAACCTCAGAGCCCACCCCCAGTTATACACTTCTTCCAATAAGGCCACGCCTCCTAACCCTTTTAATCCTTTCAGTCCCATTACCTGGTGACTAAGCATTCAAATATATGAGCCTATAGGGGACTATTGTTATTCAAACCACCACAAGTAGCATGTACCTATAGTCCCACTTACTTGGGAGACAGATCACTCACTGGAGCCCAGGACCAGCCTAGTTTGTGTGGTGTGTGTGTGTGTGTGTGTGTGTGTGTGTGTGTTATAAAATTATCTGCTGGCCGGGTGATGGTGGCACACGCCTTTAATCCCAGCGCTCGCTCGGGAGGCAGAGCCAGGTGGGTCTCTGTGAGTTCAAGGCCAGCCTGGGCTACCAAGTGAGTTCCAGGAAAGGCGCAAAGCTACACAGAGAAACCCTGTCTAAAAAAATAAAAAAAAAAATTATCTGCAATGCACACTGAACTATATAAACATACTCCCAGGTCCAAGTCATGATTATACTAGGACTGAAATCCCTTTCTGTGAAAACCGTAGAAATTGTAGATAAAACAGTAATATTGGGGTGGGGGAGTGTAGCTTAGTACTTGCCTGGCGTGTTCAAGGCACTGGGTTCATACACAGCACCACTGAAAAGCGAAACAAAAGCGCATTTTGTGGTGCTGTGTTCACCAGGTGTTACCTATACACTCTGCACGCTGTATGGAATTACTGTTATAACCATCATCCATAAAACACATTTCACAGGGAAGACAATGTGTGAAGCCGTGGATCACCCAGGAAGCAGGAATTCATTCTCAGCTTAGGAGAAAACTGTTCTTCGGCCAGTTCAAACACCAGGCAGTAGAGTTCAACTACAACCCTTGCATGAAACCCTCTGAAGACACACACGTGGGGCATGAGACCCATGGGCTGCACCCTCTCAGAACAGTCAGCTCTCTCCATGGGCCTAGACCCCAGGAAGGAATTCACTGGGAGCCTTCTGCAGTGAACTGCTGTGGAAACAACCTTGATGAGATGACTACAAATTTTGAAAATCATGGCTGAAAGCAAGGAACAGTCAAGTAAACTGCAGTTCTAGCTACTCAGAAAACTGAAGCAAGGTCTATTAAGCCCACAAGCCCTGGAAACAGCAGCATCCAGCTAATAGGAAAACAAAACAAACCAGGTTGGCCTGTAGCTCAACGACAACAGTATTTGTTTAGCATGTGTAAGACCCTAGGTTCTATCTACAGCACTAGGGAAAAAAAATCATGCTCAGATTTTTCTTTTAGGGCATGGGTATGTATGTAGTTCCATGATAGAATGCTGGCCTAACATGTCCATCCCTAGAGGCAAAGTGAATCTTGTTTGTTTTGTTTTGAAATGGTTGAGGACATTGTGTTTACCATGTACACCCGTGAAAAACAAACCAAAAGTGTGCATATCTGAGAGGCTGTCTTAGTTTCTTTATTATTGCTGTGAAGAGACTTCATGACCAAGAACTTATAGAGGAAAGTATTTAATGGGGCTCACAGGTTCAGAGGGTTAGAATCTGTGACTGCCATGGCAGGGCTGCACAGCGGCAGCCGGCAGGCATGTTCTGTAGCTGTAGCTGAGAGGTCACTTGTTAAGACAGTGAGGCAGAGCCGGGCGGTGGTGGCTCACTCCTTTAATCCCAGCTCTCGGGAGGCAGAGGCAGGCAGATCTCTGTGAGTTCGAGGCCAGCCTGGGCTACAGAGTGAGTTCCAGGACAGTCTCCAAAGCTACACAGAGAAACCCTGTCTCAAAAAACGAAAACAAAAATAAACAAACAAAAAGACAGTGAGACAGAGAGCCAACTGGAATGACATGTGCTTTTGAAACCTCAAAGCCCTCACCTGTGACATACCTCCTCCAACAAGGCCACACCCCCTGCTCCCCAAACAGTTCCACCAACTGAGGACCAAGTATTTAAATATATGAACCTATAGGGGCCATTCTCATTCATACCACCACACAACATGATCCCAGAAAACAAAGCAGTTGTAGAAAAAAAAATCCTTTATACATACACACATTTAAATATATATTTATATAAAATATAAATAGAAAATTATAAAATATATATATTTAAGTGTGTGTGTGTGTGTGTGTGTGTGTGTGTGTGTGTGTGTGTAGTTTTTGCTTTTTTGTTTTGTGAGACAGGATCTCACTGTGTAGCCCTGTTTGGCTTGGAGCTCACTATGTGGATTAGACTGACTTAAAACTTACATAGCTCTACCTACCCTGGCTTCCCAAGTGCTAAGATTAAATCATGATGAACTGAGTTTGATACCTGGGACCTGTTTGGTGGAATGAAAGAACTAAGTAGTGCAAGTTGTTCTCTGACAGTCCCCCAACACACACACACACACACACACACACACACACACACACACACACGCTGAGGCACACATATGTGACTACACACTGATATATACTCACACACAAAAACAAATAAATGTAATTTTTAAAAAGAGGGCTGGGGAACACAGTTCTGTTGGTAGAGTGGCTAACGTCCATGAAGCTCAGATCCCCAGTGCTGCATAGGCCCAGGCATGGTGGCACAGCCCTGTAGTTCAACCACTGGAAGATGGAGGCAGAAGGATCAGAAGTTCAAGGTCATCCTCAGCTACATAGTATGAGACCAGGCTGGGCTACATTCAAAAAGAAAGTACGAAAGAGTTCAATAAATGAATGACAAGTGTCCCTTTGCACAGTGCAAACTGTTTCACAGGAATTGGAAAGTCCTGGGACTGCAGTCAGTTGAAGCAGTGCAGAGGTCTGCTCTAGAGTTCTCCACAGCAGCTCCAGAAAGTACAGACTAGTCTTGTTCATCATAATGAGAGTTGACGAAAGCACCTACAGAAGCCAAACTTGTTTCTAGAAAATCATTTTAAATATGCCAATCATTGTATAATGACTTAAAAGTATAGGGAGGTAGTCAGGATATTTCAAAAGATTCTTTGTTGATTGTTACAATTTGCTGTTATTTAGTTTTATTCAACTAGCAATCTGGAATCGGTGAGTCACTGACATTTCCAAACTTCAACCCTTAAGGACTTAAAATGCCATATGTGAACATGTTTACTGACTCGATGTAAATAGAGAATAGCTTTTTATTTCCAAGCAGTGTGTGGGGACATAGGCCTGCGTTCTCACCTATACAGTACAGAATGTAAGACAGACTAGCAATGTGATACCAGTCCAGGCAGCTTAATGAAACCGTCTTGACTGAAGAGAGGACTAGGGTGCAGCTCATGGCTGTGCAGCTCATGGCTGGGCTCTTGCCTAGAACGCCTGTAACTATTACTTTGCTCCCCAGAACCTCAAACATGTCTGCCCACACAAATGACCCATATTTGTTAGAATTTTAGGAAATTAAAATTTAGCCCCAGAAACATGTCTTCCTGGTAGGAGACATGTCACCACATTTAAACACCCTAAGAGTATGGAGACATGTCACCACATTTAAACACCGTAAGCATCTGACACTTTTGGAGGAGAGAAGAAAAAATGTGTCATTTCCCTACACTAAAAACTGAGTTTGTGAATGGAGAACCCACGCTTTCAATTAAATCACACAAAATCCATTAAAATCCCAGCACTCAGGAGGCAGAGGCAGGGCTCTATGAGTTTAGGCCATCCAGGGTTGCTTAGTAAGACCCTGTCTCAAACAAAATAACAACAACATAACCAAAAAATCCAGTAGGGATGAGGATGTAGGTTAGTGGTTGGAT